AATTAAGTAAAATTCCATAACATTGTAATGGAGAAACAATTAAAAAAATGTAACTTCTCTAGCGCCTAAACTGAGCAACTGTATGTCCGAGGTAAGTTTACTTAAATCGATTTATCTTCGTCTAAGGAATACGTGGTATGTTTTTGTAGACCTTTTACAGACACCCTGAATATAGAAGTCTCATTTCTGTCTCATCTTAAAAACTAATAAGTTTTTCAGGTAAAAATATACCCAATACCATACGACAACAAATACTATGGTTAAAATATATGCTAAAAAAGATATCGTAAAAATAATTTACCTATTTAATCATAAATTCTTTGCTGTAACTTTTCTCGTCTGTCCACATTATTTCATCTTTATTTTCACTTTTTCGTGGCTTCCAAATAATTTATTAGCCGTCCGAAAATTCAAAATAAATTATATACTCTCTAAATACCACAAACGACAAATTGCAAAAATAATAAATATGCAAGACTACAAACCTATAATCTTTATATCTTAATTAGCTGCGCCACTGGATTTTACAAACTTTCTGAAATACAAAAAAAACTTCAGCACTGTAAAATATGCTCAAGCGTTGAACAAATTAGTGACTTGTTTTCAAGCAGCTGAAATTCATCACTCGATTTGTTCTACTGTATACTAAATACCAGTTCTTGATATTTATTTTGTTTTCCATCTTTTTATTCTTTTAATCCTATAAATTCAGTTAAAAGAACGTTTATTCAATTCATATTAGAACTTTTGTTAATTTTCTATTTTTTCTCACGTTATTTTTTGGATTGTATGACACTCATTTTTTCGTTTATCGGGCCACCCTGTGTAAAATTCAACGTACTAATATGAAAATTTTAAAGTTTATAATGTTGAAGTCTGTTTTTTTAACCTGTATAAATAGCAGCAACACTTCGAACGAGTTCTAAAATAAGTTAAAAAATCAACAAGAAAATTTTCTTAAAAAGCATTTCATGTATTAAGAAATAAAGTACAATATTTACATTACAGATTACATTTTTTCATAAATAGTCACATAATAATAATACTTTAGCAACATAATTTTAAATTTAAATTATCATCAACAATTTAAGAGATTTACAAAAACTGATATAAATAAGTTGAGAAAACATTCTTTTTTTAATATAAAATTGGACAGTCTTGATTATACAGTAAGTTTTAAATTAAATTAATTAATTTTGAGTTGTGCATTCATTTTTATATACCCAAAAATGATCATTCCAATTGTAAAACTTTCTGTAATTATAGTTAGTATCGAACATACACTCTTATGATACATTTAGTTTGGATATAGATTTATTTAAGAGAAAAACATTTATTTAGACACATTCTGCAAATTAGTGCCAAATTAGGTAAGTTGTAACTTGGTCGAAAAGAATGAGCAAAGTATCTTTATAATATAATATACAAAATATGAAGAATTTATGTCTTAAACTTTTTATTTTCCAAAAATATTTTAAAGACGCAATCCTAAAATATTTTATTAAGTTGACCTGTCAGAATCACATAAGTTGCCTTTATTCTTACTCTTGCTAGCAGTTGTACCTTTTTATTTCAAATTTACCCAAGGAATATATTTTCGTATGTGTTAAATAATCATAACAGGTGATACTAAAACGTATACCAAAATTTTAATGGACATCCCTGTATAAATTTGACGCAACGTAAAAACCGCATAGGGACGGTATCCGTTATAATATATATTGTAATCGTTGTTTATAATAAAAATACTTATGTACTTTGCACATTCTTGAATCTACACATGCAAAAAACAGACCCATAGATAGAAGGATATGTTAAAAATCGATTTAAAAATATCTAATAAAAATCTAGAGTGTAATATCCTAGAAAAATAGCTTGAAAAAATACTATTAACTGAATCACATATTATAACTAACCACGATACACGATTCTCCATCACATTTTCAAAACAATTATTTACAAGTTTGTGAAACTTTTGTTGTGTCAAATAAATTATATTTTTATACATTGTTTTGTTCTCCATTTAGTAAATAGAAATATTTCTACAAAATATAGTGATCAAAAATAATTTTCAATAAGGAAATATATGAGCTTTCGGCCTCTGCCTAAAAAGCACCAAACATGTATTACAATACTTGTAATTCAATGTCTGGAGGTGGAAGGAACTATTTGTGTTGTATTGGTGGCCTAAATTGAATTGACAATATCTTACCCTGCATTATTTTTCGATGTACCTGCAATTTGAGTTACTTGAATACCATAGTGGTTTTAGACTTGATGGATCAACAACAGACGAAATATTTATCAGATTCTACAAACATAGGATTAGGCCTAAATTGCAGGAGGTCACAGACGAATTCCAAATTCTTAATAAATTCATAAAATTAGTCAAAACATCAAATGCAGATGGATCCCAGCCATTAGCCCATCTAATTGTTAATAATAATAAAAAATTATTATTGATCATGACAAATATGATCTACAAAATTAAGAAACAAAATAATAATTTACCTTATATAAACAGAGGAAAAGACTAATACTGCTGCAAATTATTTTGAATGAAAGATTTTATATCAAATATTAAATTTAGAAATAATATTGACCATATAACTTTCCTTGTAAATTAAAATGGTTATCATAAAAAAATATTTCACAAGAGAATTATATTTCTGTCATTTAATAAATGGAGACAAAAAATTCACAGGAACTACAATAACAACGATCCTAAGAATCTAACTTATCAACAAGTACGTACTTAATTGAGGAAGGCCCATTTAAAATAAAACCATTAATTCTGATTTTTTTCTATTACCATATTCCATTATATAGCCATAGAAGAAATATTATGTATTTAAATTATATTAAATTAAATAAAAAATTTGATAAAAATATTTTTTTAATTTTTTTTAATAATTGGACTATAAGACTCATCAAGTCATTTTTGTACTCTTCATAATAATTGTTTGTTCATACAATTACCCAGGTTACGTTACAAAGTATCAGGCTTCTTTGATTTTATCTTTTAATATTCGTTTATAGTTTAGGATCAGAAGTCCATTTAATGTACGGAGGCCTTTTTTCGGGTTTTGGTTTTGAATTAAGCATTAAGAATTTAAATACAAATTGATTCTGGAAGTGCGAATCAAATTTATAATAAATTTTCCGTTTTTTGGAACTCTGAAGATTGAATAAAAATGATTTTAAAATCTAGAAACCAAAATTTTTCAAAGAAACCATTAATATAATCTATTCAACAAAGCCCTAACAACTATACGTTGGAACAAGCATTTATTTTTTGAAAATTAATTAGTTTAATATACATTTCTATCTTTTTTGTTTTATTGAAAACGTAAAGCATAAAACATATTGCAGCATCATTTCAAGTTACTAGAAACAGTAAATTTACTTTTCTTTAAACCTACTTCAATTTTTCGCCGAATTGCTAGAAAGGGAAAGTTTTATACCTGAATTTTGCAAAGGTCTTGTCGAAACAAGTCAGTTATTCGAGCAAAGGCGGATATTAGATCTTATTATTATCATTTTAATTTGTATTCAAATATTTAGTTGTCAGCGTTTTAAAGAACATAATTGCAATAAATTAAAGAACATAAATTTGCTCTCTCTTTTAATTCGAAATGTTACTGAAAATGTTACTGATTGTTTCTTTAGAGTTTAAGTTATATATTTGTAATATTTTCAAGCATAGTTGCTTATTCAAACAGATAGAGTTAGAAAGATGAAAAAAAAAAATTACAGAACTAATGAGTGAAATACAAAATGTGGGGACACGTCATAGATACAATAACAAAAAAGAAGTAATAATTCTTCAGACGAATTCTTTTTTCGAACTTAGTAGCCTGTCGTATGTTCCATTTAAATCAATCAAAGAATACCAAAATTATACGATTAAATCATATTATTCCTTCGCCAACATCCATAATTTATTATCGAGAATTTATCATTTCTCTATTTTACAAGTATTCGTTCCTAATAATAAAAGAAGCAATTGACATTGTCTAGAGTTACGCGGTAAAGAGATTCTGAATTAATTACGTTTTTGTTTGTAAGTTTTACTAGTATAAACGATAAGAATGTAGAAAAAGACATACATAATTATATATTAATAATAAGTTATTATCTTGCTATTTATAGATTGAGAGAATTCTGACACAATTAACTTTTGATTATTGCAATGTAATATAAAAAAAGTTTTACAGTAAAATCAAGTATCAAAAATTTCGATTAATTAATTATGAATTAATTGCTCCAAAATCCTCTACCTACATTGTCAAGATTCACAATCGACATATTGTGATGTTTTGGTAGTTTTTTTCAAGCGGATTTTAATTCCTTGATTCAGCTCAACAGTTCAAGTCTTTAGTCACAATAAACAGTCACTTTTTAAAAGTACAGCACAAGAAGGATGGTCTTCAAATGGTGTAACTGACCAAATCAAAACTTTTTTTATAACATCAATATTAAAATGACGATCAGATAAACCAAGTTGAGGCTATACCACCAGTATTTTTATTAAGCACATTTTTTTGAGCAAATATTTTATGCTAAAAACACAGTCGGCAATATTTCACGTTAAAATAAAATAATATGAACCTTTTAAAATTTTAATTATTTATCACAACATGGCGATTGATCAATTGACAAGCATTTATTTGAATTACCAGCTTCATTCATCCTAGAAATCTATAATGAACAAACCAAATATTTTTCCTTCTTCCTCTCAACATTCAAGTAGTCGAACCAACTTTTTATGAAAAGCAACTAGGTATTGTTGATTAAAAAAAGTTATTAAAAATTTACATCTAAATTTTCGTTTTAAAAATAGGCCGATGGAAAAAATATCAAATAATAAAAAACACGTATTCGATTTGTACCCTTTGTTCTATCACTTCTCATCTAAATATTCGATACTCTTTTACTATTTATGTCAATTATTTTCGATAATCTTTCCACAGCTGTAAAAACGAGAGTTTTTCATTTTTTTAGTCAGAATCCTCGTCCGCAGGTTGATCGAAACCACTGAGGTCAGCAGCCTGAAGATGACCCTTCATCTGCGCGTACTCTATAAGAGCCAAATGGCAAAAAATGTACTGGTCAGGCATTTGGATGGAATAAGCTCGTTGCGATCTTATCCTTTCGACGGTACCCCTTATATCTGCCGATCCAACGTCTTCTAATCTGGAGATGCAGATGTCTAATGTACAGAATGTACCTGTAAGGAAAAATAGGATACATCAGTAAAAACAATATACTTTTATTTATTTATTTACGGGCAATCCCATTTGAGAAATAAATTACAATTTTAAATTATAAATAAATAAATGTAGTGAAATATATATGGTGCTGAAATACAAACGTGGTATAGTTCATTACATATAGACTAAAATAGGTAAAGAATTTAAAAGATTTAAAAAGACAATAAGGTTGAATAAAATATTTACATTAAAAATTAAAGATCAAAGATTAAAGTTCAGTACCAGAGATAACCAGGAGATGTAACTACTAACAAATATCGTGCGGCCCAGAATAAGACATATTCTAAGGGACACAGTAGGGTATAATATCCGCTGTTGTCATTATTAGTAAAGTGTATGTATTAAAATATTCGCTCAAGAAAACGATTTACCTCCCACTCTTTTGTCACAAGCTGAATTTTTCACAGATGAAAGGTCATAATAAGGTAACCCTTATTCCGGAAGTAATACAAAATTAGACTGTGCAGAAGGGCACTATCATCAAAAATCCAGATATTGATACCACCGAATAGAGAAAAAAATACTTATTTTTTGGTCAAATGCACAATAAAATCTTTGTAGGAAGTAATTGTTCATACTTATTTAAAAAAAATAATTTGCATTAGCCCTTTTTAAATATACCCCTCATTTAACAAAAAACGAAGGCCTAAATGAAAAAAAAACATTCTTTATAAAATTTTTGCTTATGTGTTGACAAGGTAACAGAGTAAACACCATATTTTTTGCTTTTGAATTAACAAAGATATAACAATAAACGATGAGAGATGTCATAGGTTTATGCTGTAATTAATTCTCACCGCCAATTTTATCGACTCTCAGTGTATCTTTCTCTTCACCTTCAAACGTAGCATAGCTCTGTTTCTCTCTACGTGCCGGCTGATGTATCACATTATTGATATGGTAGGATTTTTTCATTTTTTTATTATAAAACTCGTTATGTTCCATTGGGCAATGTGTCTTATTGTTATCTGTTTTTACTAAAGAATTAATAAGTGTAGTGTATGTGTTATATATTAAAATACCTAATAAATTGGGAAGAAATATAGACATTTTTGCATCTTTATTATATCTACACCCAATATTCCACTTCCGCAACAATAGAACTTGTTTATTCATTGGATATTTAACAAAAGACGTTTAACAAATTTTCTGCCAGAGCAACTTCTTCAAAACTCCCTTCAGCAAAAGCATATTCAATTTCTAACTAGTGGTGGATTCGCGAAAATCAATAAATATTGGAAGAATTTTGAACCATCAAAAGACGATTTTTTAAATTCAAATCACGATGACGCTGATAATCGTATCTTATTGCACATATTGTCAGCCAAAAATTCGGGGTATTCACGCTGCATTATTTATTGCAACAATACAGATGTTCGTCTTATTAATTTATTTTAAGATGTTTTTGACTAAAGATATATGGTTCAGAACAGAGAGAGGAGACTCAAGACGATTTCTAGCAGTACATTATTTAAATTTGGATGAAAACTTTCTAAAAAATGTGCCTGCTTTTCATTCTCTGACCGGTTGTAATACAACCAGCCAATTGTCCCGCATTGGGAAAAGAACCTGTTGAAAAAACCTACCTTGAACACCATTACTTTTTGGATGGATTTGGCACTGATCAATACTCTGAAAACATATTCTCTAATCTTGAAAGAATTTTCATAAAAATTTATTCAAAACTGCCAATGTTACTTCTATTAACATTTTGAGGGGATTATTGACCTCTCCAAAAACCATCGCTAAATTGCCACCGACTGAAGACGCCCTAAGACTACAATGTTTAAGATGTTTTTACCAGCTAAATATTTGGCTAAACTCTTTAAACCCAGATGCAGCTTCCTAATGTTGAAGAGTATGGATGGAAAGTAGATCAAGATGGAAGTCTGATATCCACTTTTAAGACCTGCCACCAGACATAACATAACTTACATCATGCAAATGCAAAAAAGATACTATAAAATATTCTAACAATAATATTCTGTTCTAGACTGTGGAAGCAAAATTTGCAAATGCAGGAAAAAAAATATTTGCTGTATCGGTTCCTGCACCTCTATGGCACAAAAAACTGCAGAAATAGTTTGACCACAGCCACTAATGTTTTGGACAATGTTGATTCGAGTGGTGAATCTGATTCTGATTAGTTTGAAAGTCTTGTAATTATAAATTTTAATATTATTAATTTATGCTTTATATACTTTTTTCCAATTATTATTATTATTATTATTATTATTATTATAATTTATTTATATTGGATTTATTGTATTTTGCAAAGCAATAGCCTTACTGTTTATAATTGATATTTCAATAAATACCTTCAATAAATAGTTTATATTTTCTTATTTTTTATTCTCCTCCAAAAATAAAAAAAAAATCATGAAGTAATTAATACACCCTATTATTCATAGTGGATAAATCAATAATCCCTGTATAAAATAATATAAGAGAGTCAAACTGATTGCATACATTTCAATACTGAGAGAGATGCAGAAAGAGTCGAGAGGCTCTGCCTTTAATGATTGCTTTCTAGTAAAACCATGACATCACTAATTGTTTATTGCTATATTTTTGTTAATTTAAAAGCAAAAAATATGACTGAATATACAGGGTGATGAATTTGAAAAACTAAAGTGACTAATAATTTAAGAGACACGGCAAATCTGGCAACATTGCAAATATTAAATCTGGAATCACCGTATCCCAAAATAGGTGTACCCCAAATTTTGTACAATTAGGACTAGCAATTTAAGAGATAATTGGCCGTTTCCAGACTTTTGGGCCACTCTGTATACCTGTATTTCAAAAACATTCTGTATATTTATGTGTGTAAATTTATTTTTAGTATATAAACTGCACGTTAGAGAAAACGTGCCACACAAAAAATTTACGAAATTATCTGTCTTGTTAAGTTTCTTATTTTTTAATTACGTAAAACGGGTTAGTTTGTGTACTTGCGAAGTCATACCACCCTGTAAAGATCATAAACAAATTTTCGGAACCGAGTAAACCAAAAAATTTATCAAAATACTTTTTTACCCGTCAATTAAGTTTCATGAAAGTGACTATTTTGAGAACTTATGAATTTGTATTGTGTTCTAAAGAGTATTAAAGGTATTTTTGTACTACACTGGTCTTCGTAAAGAGTATTCCTTAATAATGGATGAAAAATATCGAAGAGCTATTCAGATTGTAACATTATTGGAAAATGGAGCAAGTCAACGGGATGTGGCGAGACAATTAAATATCAGTTGTTCGACTGTGCAAAGAACACACCAACGGTTTGTTGCGACCGGCACTTATCACCGGCGACCCAGTACAGGTGCTAAAAAAAAAACAACAGCCAGAGAAGATCGCTTTACTCATCACTGCTGTTTAACGAGACCGAACCCAAACTGCTAGAATGCTCCAAAGTAGTCTTCAGCGAGCTCATGGAATGGCAGTCAGCACTTCTACTGTTCGGCGAAGGTAAAGAGAAAGTGGTTTGACAGCTTGCAGTCCAGCTACAGGACCCTTGCTTACTGCAGCACACAAAAGACGCAAACTTGCTTTTGCTCACGCGAATATATGAATTCAACAGTGAACATTGGAAAATGTACTGTTCACGGATGAGTGTAGGATGTGCATATATGAAAAACCGAAATAAGGTTTACAGAAGAGCTGGAGAACATTATGCTGCCTGTACTCGGTCACCTCAAGTTGCTTTTGGGGGTAATGTTTTGGACAGGAATTTATTTTGAGGCACACGGATCTCGTTATTATTGTTAGAAGCGCATTAACATCACGACAATACACAAAAGATCCTAGAAGAGCATGTAATGCCATATGCTGGGTTTGTTGGCAATGATTTGCTGCTAATGCAGGATAACGAGGGACTACACACATCAAGGATGGTAACACAATACCTTGAAGAGGTTGGTATTCCCAAAATCGATTGGCCTCTTCTAAGTCCGGATCTTAATCCTATTGAGCTTGTTTTGGACCAGCTCAAAAGGCGTGTAAGACGTCGTATACCTGTTCCAAAAACACGCGAAAAGCTTCGGTTGAACCTTATTGAAGAATGGATCACTTTTCCTTAAGCAAACATTCAGACCTTGCTGATTTCTATGCCAAATCGAATTAGTAGTGGCATCCAGAATCGGGGTGGCATACGCTGTATTGAAAAGTGATCCTCACCATTTATTGCCTCTTTAATTTTATTATTGCAAAGTAAACTGTAACTGTAATTTTTCAATAAATTTATATCTCATTTTTTTTGTTATTGTTTCGTTCGTGACTTATCGTAACATCGGATAACATGGTAAAACAATTACTAACTTAATACACAATAGATTTATTGTTATAAAAATAAGTTATATTTAAAAAGATGAATTATTTCATAAATTTTTTAGGTGGCCCGTTTTCTCTGACGAGAAATGTATCAAATTAAAATTACCAGCCACTTAACAATTTTTGCTCCTGTCCCCTAACCACCGAAAATCTACACGTTCTTTAGGCTCAATGATAGGTGCATTTCTTATAACTCACACCTGTTTTCAGTAGATTCCTTTTTAGAAATAGAAGAATAATTAAACTTACCAGTTCTACCAATACCCGCACTGCAGTGCACAACGATTGGAGGGCCCCTAGGATGTCCCGCCCACGTATCTCCTAAAGCTACTACCATACTGGCCTGTTTTCTCCTTACTCTTTCTAGGAACTCTAACATTGCTTTTGCCGAATGCGGAACTCCGTAATCTGGCCACGAGGTGAATTGCCAATGAGAAACTTCCCGAGTTTCTTCAGTCTACAAAATTTTAAAATTCATCACTATTTTTGTATTAAACATAATATGAATGTTCAATAGAGATGTCATAATTATTATACTCACTTTATTATTTGTTAGACTAATTGTAGTTACAGTGTATTCAGTATCTGTTTCTATAGCCTCAGTTTTAACCAAAAATTGACCATAAGTTACTTCGGCGCCTACATCGGGTTCCCAGTACTGATGACATTTCGGCCTGCCCCTTTCCATTGCTCGTGTTGTCATCACAATAACTAAAGTATGTTGTTCCCAAATCATTCGCCAAAAATCGGGCGTCGTTTTTGGAAGGGGTCCTACAAAGAATGAGAAATTTAATTGCAACTTCGAAATATAAAAATAATATAAGTAGGTAAGTACTCAGCGAGAAAGAAAACTGCACCGGAAAATTACTTTATATCTAGAAATTTTCTACGGGGTTGTGGTCTTATAATCAAGATATACAGGGTGTTCCAATAAGAGGTTCGGGATGTTTTTATTAAATAAAATGAAATCAAATAGAAAAACATTTAAGACTTTTGTCAACATTTTCGATCACAGTTGACAGCTGAATACATTTCTGGTGGTGCATTGAATCTCATATTGTAATTATTGAATTGTTTGAGGATTGTTTACATATGGTTTACTTTTGATGTAACCTCACAAAAAGAAAGTCTAGTAGCGTTAGATCGCAGGTTCTAGGTGGCCAATTAACATCTCCATTTCATGAAAGAAGTTTATTGTATCTCTTGTCGTGTGAGATCTTGCATCGTCTTATTGGAAACATTTATTGTGAAGATCCATATTCATTATTATAGGCAATAAAACTCTCGAAACATCGTTCGGTAAAGCTAACGTGAAGGTAACACTAGAAATGGCTCAGCTGTGATCGAAAATTTTGGCAAAAGAGTTGTGCCCTACAGGGCAATGTTACCTATTGCTATAAAGTCTTACATTTTTTCTTATTTGGTTTTTGTTCTATTTAATAAAAACATCCGGAACTTCTTAATGGAACACCTATTATATAACAGAAGATTGTATAGTATAAAATCCTGAAAGTTTTTTTTACAGTATTTATTTATTCTTAGTACTATTTGTCGTAGACCAGCGGTGTTTTTTCTTAGATATTAGCTGTCTGTGTAAGGGTTCCTTCGTGTTTACAGGATAGATTGTGGACTGTATTTTTTTTATAAATCTTGTAGAATCTCGGTGATAAATTGATGGATAAATTGTCGTGAAATGTAGAAATTAAAGTGATTGCTTCTGTCAACTGGTTTGTTTTATCTTTATAAACTTTATACTTTACAACCACATTACATTTGAGTGATACTTTATATTCAATTGAATGTGAATATGCTGATTTAAAACATTTTTCTGTTAGTTTAATGTTAAAAATGCGATCGTTCACGCAGCGATTACATTAGTCGTTACATGAAATTTTTCATAAAATAGGCAAAAGAATTACCTTCTTCAATATAGATATGATATTTAGCAACGCCCTATACATCGCATAGCCATGAAGTGTGGACTAGTGAGCAAGACAGTAGTAGGATTTGTGAATTTTTTTTTGATAGGAATTTATATATAGAAACTGTACACAAAGAAATTTTGCAGCACATAAATGTCACTTTTCGACACCCTTATATCATACTTTAATTATTTTAAGAAATGATCAAGTTTGCAAATGCAAAACTATGCAAAAAAGCGTTTTTTGAACTGTTTTTTTTTAATACATAAATGAAAAAGAAACTTAAAATTTCCAGATTTAATATCTCTTAATAAAATAGAAACTATCGAATATTTCCAAGGATTTTCTCATGCACTGACAAGTAATTTTATCTGAAAATCTCTCTTACCTTGCGTATTAATAAAAGCATTCTTTTGTTTATATCCATCCACGAAATTCGCATGAATGTAATCACTATCTTTGTCATTGTCCAATTCGGACAGAATCACTCGACTATGGTCGTAACACAGCACATCAGTATATCTGTTTTTGGGCAAATTATTTTTGGATTTAGCTATGTTGAATGTTCCATCAGGAGGTCTAGACCTGAAAAAAAAATCGAATTCAAACAAGCTCAAATAATTTTTTTACACATAATTTCAAACAAAAAGATGGCATAAATGATACGGCTAATTGATCTCTGAAAAATAAGTAGGGTTAGCTTAATAAACATATGGTGAAAAATAAGACGAGTATGTACATAGATGTGTTAAAAAATTTAATTATTGAATTTTATTAAAATCTGCAACTTTCAGCAGTACAAAGCAATGATCATAACCTGCCTGAAAAATTGTTATGCATTTATAATAAAAAATAAATAATAATAATAATAAAAACACTGAATAGATATTTAAAAAACTTGAAACAAGAATAATACTGTCGACCAGAGATAAAAAATGACGGTCATTTAAAAATCATGACATTTTCGTTGTTAAATTACCTTTACGATATTATAATATTGTTACCGTGCAGTAGCCTGCGGCTGTTATAGGAAACGTTCGAATACAAAAAAAGAAGTGCAATGTTACTCATCGGCCTACAGTGTGCTACGGTCGTCATAAGTAAAAGTACTAGTAAAAGAAGATAGAATAGTCCAGAAATGTCATTCCACGTCAAGGAAAAGTCTAGACAGTTCGAGAATGTTCGAGAAAGTTAACGCAAGCTATATAAGCAGGGATCCTGACGTCAGTTTTATGATAGACGTTACATGTTAATGTTATTAGTTGGATAGTTATTGTTGAAGTTGAATTGAAATAAATTGTGATACCAAAAACCAATGGCCGCATTCAGCAGAAGCAATCGATTTATGATTTTCTGCTGAATGATATATAAAAGAGCGATTAGTAATCAAATGATGAGTTATCGGCCGCCATTTAAAACATCGAATTTGAAATACGATTAGTTATCACATCGTGATTAGATTTAGAACTCATACCAACTGAAGTGAATGTTTTGTGGTGGTGCTCATAATTCATAACCTTATTTTATGTTTATTTTGAATTCATTTTTACACTGAATTTGTCATTTTTCACTGAAATGAAGGACTTTGAAGTGATATATGTTTATAACAATATGAAATATATTGTAGTTGGTAATGAAGTGTTGCACAATGCATTAAAATCAGGCAAATACATTAATTTATAATTATGTAGTTGAGTAATTTATTTGGTGTTTTATTCTAAATTTTGTACCTATATTTTAGATGATGACTTTTTTCTGAAGTACATGTCACTTTTATGTCGCCTGTCGAAGTGCCTAAAAAGTTCATTCAGGAGATTCACTAATCGATAAGTAATCGCTAAGTTATCGTTTGATAATCGGTTGCTTCTGCTGAATGCGGCCAATGTAACATTGGTGACAGCGGTGGGATACAAAGTAAAAGTTCATGGTAAATACTAGATCCACTGAGTACGAAAAAGATATGGATACTGCAGGCCCACCAGCATGGTTTTTGAAGATGGAAGAGGAAAAGGAGAGGCGCCGTAAGGAGAAAGAGGAGGCAAAGGAAAGGCGTAGGAAGGAAGAAGGGAAGGAAAAGGAAAAGCGTAGAAAGGAAGAAGAGAAGGAAAAGGAAAGGCGAGAAGAGGAGAAAGAAAGATGGAGAAAGAAAGATGCAGAAAGGAGGAAGAAAAAGAAGCGATTAAAATTATGAACGGTTTGCTACAAATCCAGGAAACCTTCAAGCAAGAGGTTAGTTAGCTTAAAATTAGAGTAGATCTGATAGAACAACAACAAGAGCATCTAAAAGCTAATTTAGAACAGCAGCAAAAGCATTTAAAAACTAATTTGGAACAACAACGAAAGATTTTAGAACAACGGGAGAAGGCTAGAGTAGAGTTCGAAAGGCAAATTAGAACCGAACTGGTTGAGTTAGAAAGAGGAATTCGTAGCCAAGCTTCGATAAGCAACAGAGAAACTGAAAACACTAGCTCGTCTTCATCCATAACTGAACCAAGCCACATTTGAATCCCAGTTTTACAAAACTATACTAGCAAGACCCTTAAGCCACCCACGTTTGACGGTCAGACAACATGGGAAACATATCGACTCCAATTTGAAGCTGCAGCTAGAGCCAATAGCTGGACCGAGAAAGAGATGGCGGATTCATTGATAGTGTCACTGCGAGGTCAGGCAGCAACCGTTTTACAGTTACTTCCTCAAGAGGAACCCAGTTATTCATCTCTCGTCCAAGCTTTGGTGACAAGATATGGCCAGCAGCATTTGAAACGGGTATTTCAAAGCCAAATAAAAATTCGTAGTCAGAAACATATTGAGAGTCTACAGGAATTCGGGGCCGACATAAGAAAATTGATTCATCTGGCCTATCCACAGGCGCCCAAAGATTTCCAAGAACAAATCGGAATAGAGGCATTCATTGATGGATTACAAGATGCAAAAATGCAGCAAGTCCTACGACTACAACATCACAAGACGCTGAGGGAGAAACTGATTGCAGCCCAGGAATATGAAGCGGTAAAACTCCTATCCAGATCTTCTCGTACAAAAGTAAGGGAAATTAAATCCCAGGAAAGTGAGGAGGTCAATACTAATGCTATTCCCCAAATCTTAAATATCCTACGAAATATGCAACGAAACAGCCAAAATGGAAACAGGAGATGCTTCAATTGCGGAAGAATCGGGCATCTTCAAAGAACGTGTAGAAGCATGGCTCATTCTATAAATCGAGAATCAGTGAATGAGACCGGAAAATCATATAGATCAATCTTTCCAAGCCCATCACTAAGACCAACAAGAATTAATTACAGCAGCTATGCGTCCCGAAGAAGCCAATCACCCATACCGAGCCGGGCAACCCCGTTTAGAGGAACAATGCTGGTATGGTAAAAGACTCGAAGAACGAGAAGAACCGGTTGATAAATTTACTCTTCGGGCAACCACTATCAAGCCAGAGGGCGACGAAGAAGAAATCACCCTTGAAAGTCTGAGATAGGGACAGAAGGAAGACAATGACTTAAAGGTTGTCCGAGAATGGCTCAAAAATAAAGTTACACCAAGAGCTAGCCAAATACAGTAAAACTATAAAAGGCTACTGGACCCAGTGGGATTGCCTGTATCTTCACGATGGCCTATTGCACCCGAAGTCCCGTTGGAGTATATGTAGTCCGCCAAGTGATACTGCCGATGTCACAGGTGAGAAATGTATTGGAGGAGCTTCATAGCAGCCATTCAGGAGGACACTTTGATACTAAAAGGACACTGGCACGTGTTCGGGAAAGATTTTATTGGGTCAATTGCCGACGGGATGTAGCGGATTGGTGTAAAAAATGTGATGTATGAAATGGCAGGACAAAGGTCTATGGGTTCGCTCGAGAACGACTGAAAGCCCACACCAATAAAGCAGATGCTAGAATCGACAGGCGTGCCACAGATACACATTTTGAGAGGGGCGACAAGGTATGGCTGTGCAATCCCAAGCAGCGAGGAGGACTTTGTAAGAAATCGCAACGGAACTGGGAAGGCCCCTACTCCGTCCTTAAGGAAAATCAACGACCTGATCTGCCGAATTCAGTTGTCAGCGGGAAGTAAACCCAAGGTAGTTCACATTGAAAAGTTAGCGCTATATCGTATTCCGGATCCTCCCCGTTGGCTTCATCCAGGTCCCGGTAATCAAGTTATTCGGGGCGAATAACTAGAGAAGAGGGAGTAATGTTACGCAGCACCCTGCGGCTGTTATAGGAAACGTACAAATACAAAAAAAGAAGTGCAATGTTACTCATCGCCCTACAGTGTGATGCGCTCGTCATAAGTAAAAGTACTAGTAAAAGAAGATAGAATAGTCCAGAAATGTCTGGAAATGTCATTCCACGTCAAGGAAAAGTCTAGACAGTTCGAGAAGGTTAAAGCAAGCTATATAAGAGGGATCCTGACGTCAGTTTTATCAGTTATATGAAAGACGTTACATGTTAATGTTATCAGTTGGATAGTTATTGTTAAAGTTGAATTGAGTCATTGTAAAGTTGAATTGAAATAAATTGTGATACCAAAAACCAGTGTAACAATATAAATGAAAAATGCTATTGATGAGATAGCTAGAAATAAAACTTGTATTCAATCAAAAAATACAAAATGATTTCTCCTTTAAATTGTTATTTACTTGATACTTTAATTTTTATCAGCATGATACTCATACGTATTTTTTTATTAGTGCAAGGAGTGCCAGGATTATGAGGACTGAGAATAAAATGCTCAAAAATACTTCTTTTCTTTCTCACGACAGCCTTAGATTAGAGAGTAACAAATGAACTTACTGAGTGATCCACAAAAAAATTCTTCTAAATTAAATAAAGGATATTTGAGTGTACAATTCTTTTTTTTTTAAATTATAGTTTGGATGTAAGAAGCGGTCGTAGTTATTACGGACGTGACAAAACAGTACCATTGCACATGTAATTGACGTTAGCTCAATTTTGAGGTTAGATTAAACGTGACGGCACGTCACGAATCAGTATGACGTGATCGTTATTATCATTATGACATATCGAAAAGACGCGGTCATATTATTATGACCCGCACAGCCAGAGTCCGATTTTAAATTCTTTTACCGATAATTTGACCAACGTTTCATAAGATATATATGACAGGTTAAAGGGCTATATTTTGGGTCACGTGGTTTATGACCCATTAATAATAAAGATCCCAAACGTAGTTGGGTTGGGAACTTAGTTTAAGTCCAAGTTCAACACGTTGTCAATGACAAGTAACGGCGACTTTTTTTATCACAAAAATACAGCTCTGAACGATATTTTCAGAAATTGTTTTTAGAAATGGATTCAAAGTAAGGTAAAGAATGTTGGAAAGTCTATAGTTTGTTTTACTTTTAATGTATAATATTTTAATAAGTAATATTTAACAAATATTTAAAAGTTATGGACTTTCCACCATTTTTTAAAGCATTTAAAAGCTAAAACGCAAAATACACTGTTTTATTTTTGCCCTAATTATTTCAGGATACTTGTGTTAAAGATTTAAAAATGTACTTTCAATGAGGTGCCGTTTAATTAAACTCATCTTGTTACGTATTTGTTGACATGAAGAGACAGAAATTTAAAGTGAGGCCTTGTATTATTTCGAATGAAAAATCATTTTCTAACTTAAGAAAAAAGTTGAGTTGGTCTTAATACAATTTAACTTTACACACTGGTGTACTCATCTCATTTTTCACTCCATGTTTTGGGTATACCATTCCCAGTATTTTTATTCAACATATTATGTCCTAAGAGCTTCCATTTTTATGTTAATTAAAGTTAAAAAAATGATTATTTGGCATAACTTTGAAATTAGTATACATTTTTTTTTTTTCAAAAAACTTGTTTAATTAATGTAAAGAAACATGCAAGGGGCATAAAGTGAGAGTATAATATCCTTAACTCTCCTTCCCCCTAAAAATAGAGCATCTTGGGACGTATGTTTATTAGGCAAACACTACTTAGTTTTCCATCAGCAGTATTATTATTTGGTAAGGACAATTAACAGCAATTTAAAAGAACGTGGATTACTATGTGACACCAATTGTTTTGCAATTTTTTATTAATGCTAAAAAGCCACAAAGCAAACTAAAAAATTGTAGGTATATTTCTTTTTACAGGTAATTTGATAATTTAATCATACTTTTAGTTTACAGGTGAATCTTACATTTAAAAATATTTTAATTTACTAAGAAAAAACGCTTGTCCATTTATATGTGAAGGTTGTGAATAATTTTGTAAACATATTCATAATTATAATACATTTTCCAGATATTTTTTAATGACCTTGCATAAAAACAATGCATATCTTTGTTTTTTAAACAGAAATAACTAAGTACTTTATCATTATGGTAATAAATTAAATTTTAATACACTTTAATATATTTTATTAAATTATTAAATCCCCTTGATTATAAACAAATTAAGTTCCTTACTAATTATATATTTGATAAATTTTTGTTGTTGTTTAATGTCCTATTAATAGCTAACCCCTTTTAAAATATTTGCCAAAAAAGTTATTTACGTTTAAATTTTTGAAGTGACAAAAGTATGTTTATAAAACAAAATTCTACTTATACTATTTTTATACGCTATCAGTGCTTCTAACAAATTTGTTCATGTTTTTAGTGCTTCACTGTTATCGAAATGTATTAATAGTATATAAACTTAATAATTAAGTAACAAATGTATAAGAGTTTTTATAATTTGACATAAATTTGAACTAAAAGTAAATAAATAAGTATGCATATGAGCGAACTCCACTGTTTTTTCACCTCTCAAGTAAAATTACCTTGTCAGTAACTAACTTCTTGGTGAATAACAAGGGTCACTTGAAGTAATCAATAAGGTTCAAGTAGTAAAGAAATGTTAGTGACAAATGGATATATTTGAAAGATTTGGAACTAATTTACTATAAAAAAATTTAATAATTTTATATTCTCATTAGTGAAGCTAGCACCAACATAATAACGAAATAGAATGAGTAATTTTGACTTATTTATCAAATAAGCCAGTTACTAAGAGTGATTTTTTACTTTTACATACTGTAGAGAGAGGTTTGTCATCGGGGGACCTTAACGTTAAACATGTTGACTAGGGATCCAAACAAACTACGCTCAAATGCAGTGAATTAAAAAAAGATGTCCCTCAAAACAATTGCAATTATCACTCTACAGGTAAACCTTCTTACTACCTTTATTGAAGAAAATTTTGATTTAGATTCTGATCATTCAGCTGTAATTCTGACCTTGAGTGAAAGTTATTAAAAGAGCAACCCGACCTACTATTACCAACAAAACTACTAACTGGGAAAGCTTCAGAATTGAACTTCAAAACAAGATCAATCTGAATATATGTTTAAAAACAACTGAACAACTTAATGAGGAAGTTGAAAACTTTAAAAAAGTTGTTCAAAAAGCTGTCTACAGTGATACCAAAGAAATTACCCATTTAACAAAAGGAATAGTCTACCCAGTTAAGATCGGATAACTTGTTAGAGAAAAAAGAAGAGCAAGAAGAAGATGGCAACAATCTAGAGATGATACATCTGATAAATTCATTTTAAACATTACAAAACATCTCAAAAACTGAGAAGAATCAAAACTCATACCTACAGAACCTGTCACCAGATAAATACACAGATTACTTTCTGTGGAAAGCCACAAAACAAATTAAAAGACCTATTAGCTTCATCCTTTCCATTGAAAGAGGTAACGGAGTTCGGGCCAGGGACAATAAAATACTTGTCTGCTGGACATTTGTCAGATATTATAACACCCAATCAGATGTAGGAAGAAAATAATTTACCTTATAATAGAGAATCAAAAATCCGAAAACATCCATCTTGTTACAATGAAAGAAGTAGCAGAAGTAATTGAAACTAACCTTAATCCGAAGAAAGCACCAGGCTTCGATTTAATTACTGGTGAAATTTTGAAGCAATGCGCTAGTTCAGTGATTATGATGGTTCCACTGACAATTAAAGTGACAGTAGATTTTTTGAGTTTTGTTTACCTAAATTATATCGCTTTTTTCACTTTTATAAATATATTCCTAAAGTAAGTAGATAGCATGATAGCATGTATCAAATATACAATCGTTTAGTTACCAATTACATACTTTTAAACTATTTTCTATGACCTGTAAACAATATTTTGAAATAAAATATAAACAGTAAAATCGTATATGTCAAATTAATTGATGTATTTGTTAAAAGTTTGGTTAGAATTAAATGTCAGTGGAACCAAAATGACATTACACTGAACTAGCGCATTGTCTAGAAAAGGTGTTGTCATGCTGACATACTTGTTAAATGCGGTTTATAGATTGAAACATGTTCCCGCAAACTGGAAAGTTGCAGAGGTAATAATGTTACCAAAGTTAGGAAAACCGCCAATCGATGTTAAGTCTTAGTCTTAGGCCTATTTCTCTTTTACCAACTGTGACAAAATTACTTTAAAAATTACTGGTAAAGAAATTAAGATCTCCTCTGATAGAAGATACAAAATTGATACCTGATTTCCAATTCGGATTTCGACAGAAACATTCTACTATTTCCAAGTGCATAGAATCACAGATGTCATAGAGCATGCCCTTGATGGAAAACAAGTCTGCTCTGCAGTATTTTTAGACGTTGCCCAAGAATTTGACAAAGTGTGGCATGAAAATTTGGTTCACAAACTAAAAAAAAAAATACTCCCGAAGCAATATGTAGAGATTATATCTCAGACAGGCTTTTCAGAATCAAGCAAAAAGACGAATATTCTAATTTAAAAGAAATAAGAGCTGGAGTACCTCAAGGAAATGTTCTTGGACCCATCTTATACTTGCTTTACACTAGTGACTTGCCAGCTCTGGAAGATATGATTGTAGCTACATTCGCTAATGATACTGCTCTCCTTGCAGTTGATCAGGACCAAGAAAGATCAGTAAAAAACTCCAAACTGCCAGCAATTATCTAGTTAGATGAACCAATCGATGGAGAATTAGGCTCAATGAACTTTATTCATGTGAACTTCACTAACAAAAAAATAGCAGAACCTTTCTCTTTAAATATCAACGGAAAGACTGTACCTCATGAGCTAAATGCAAAGTATCTTGGTATGACCGCTGATGTCAAGTTACGATGGAAAGTACATGTTAAGAAGGAACAGTACTACTGGAACTCAAAACTGTCAGTACATAATAGAATATTAATCTACAACCAGGGCATAAGACCGGTATGGTTTTATGCCATTTAATTATGGAAATGTGCCAGAGATAGCAACATTAAATCTATCCAAACTTTTCAGAACAAAGTATTGCGCAATATAGTGAACGCTCCTTGGTATGTGCACAACGCAGATCTTAAGCATGAAGCCAGACTTCAGCTACATACTAATGCAGAAGCTCTTCAGCTGCAGGACAGTCAGGACCATGTCCGACGATTGAAGAGGACTAAGCCTTTGATCTCGTGTAGTGTGTTGTGTATGTGTGAAACCCGAGCACAGTGCGCGATAGTGACTTGTATATAGTAGTCAGATCAATCTAATGAAGACTGATGGATTGACTTCAGCTAATAAGTACGTAATTTCAGATTGTTTTAGAACAAAAGTAATGGCTAGTCCATGAGACTAGTTTCAATGGCAGGCACCATAAGGTATCAAATGAAGAAAAAAAAAATAGTAGTACTGTAATGTACCAACGGTTCATCTCCTTTTTAAATGATAATAACGAATATGTTCTGTTAGTAAAAGAATGTGAGTCAGTCAATATACGATAGCCCAGCTATATCGGTATATTATTTAACTAGATCATTATAAGAGAATTCTTAGTGTTTATACATTACAAATAATTAATGAGTTTTTAAATTAGAGATAGCGCTTTATTAAAAGGAAACTTTTCGATGTCCAAAATATTCATATGCCGTTTACTTTAAAGATTTTTTTTTCTAATTCAAATTCACGGTTTCTTTTTTAACGATTTTAGATGGAAGGTTTTTTTTGTAACTTTTTAAAAGCAATAACCTTGCCTTACCTTTATCTTTTCATAGACGAAAAGTAGTAAAATGGTCAAGTGTAATATTTCGTTGAATTTAGCTATAAAAAACTATAAAAATTACAGTTAAAAATCCAGGTCCGTATTTAAAACATGAAGCTAAAAGTTTTTCTGAAAATACGAAACGTCGCAATGAAAATTTTGGTATTGCAGGTTATAGGAAAATTCATTTATAATAAAAACTTTGAATCATTTTTTTTATCTTTTACCCTAAATTAAAAAAAACGAAAATGAGGTTTTTCATATGTTCTCGAATATCTCTGGAACTAGTCACGAAAATCTAGAACTTTTATGGTACCCGTCAATATATTAAATTTTTATCCCCTTTTAATCGACATTATATATCTTTATAATAATCTGTAGACTTGCCATATACTAAATAAAGTAATAGTAGGTTCAATATACTCTATGTCTTCTGTTTAAATATGCTCTTTTATTACCCGTCTACAATAAGTTAGTTACCTGATTTCGGCGTATTCCTGCACTAGACCAGGTCGCCCTCTATCCCTAATATAATCAACTAATTGCATTGCCGTCAAAGCGGCTCCATCTCCGTGTAGAGAGTCATCGTCAGAAAAGCCGCTGGAAGCGCTGCTCGGGGGATTCAAGTTAGCCTCCTCTGCCCAACTGTCGACGCCATTGCCCGATACTGAAATATCAATGTCGCTTGGAGCTGAGGTGCGTTTTTGGGGCGACGGTGTCTTACCATCTAAAAAAAATGTAGCAATTAATAGAGTTGTAATTATATACGATTACGATAACGTTTAAAATAAAAAGTTTTTCTAAACTTTCAATTTATTAATTTTACTACTATGTATCTATATTTCTCGATAATTCCCTATTTTTTCTCAAATCAATCATAACTTTTTTGTTTCGGTTTATTTGTTCGCGATAACCTTTTCTGTTCCATAAAATGCCCTCATAAATACGCCATTATAATTGTAACTAATTTAGAAACAGTTTAGATTAAGCAATCTTCGTACACAGAAACTAAAAACACAGCTAAAAAAGAAACAAACTCACAAATATGACTCTAGAGTTCAATAAAACAATAAACAAAGCTGAATAATAGACTGAGGAAATGAGAAATCATAACACAATAGTGTAAGAGATATCAAAACTCTTTGAGAAGATGTTACTAAAGAGGCTCAAAGTGATCATAGAGAGAAAAATTCAATAAAAGACCATTAATTTGGTTTCAGAACCTAACAGTCCACAATAGATCAAGTCCACAGGATTACAGATCTAATAAAGAAAGTCTATGAAGAGAAAGAAGTCTGAACTGCATTGTTACTCGCGCAGGCCTTTGAGAAAATCTGACATAAAGGACTTGTAATAACATTGGGACATATGCTCCCAAAGCAGGTTGTAGAACGCCTAGATTCTGAGTGAGGCAAGAGGAGGAATACTCTGAGTTAAAACAAACTAAATGAGTATCTAATATTAACCCACGATATACCAGAAATGATTATTATCAAAACCTCTACGTTTGCTAATGACAGTGCTATTTTAGTAATAGAAACAAATGCAGATGAAGCCATTGAAAAGCTACAACAAGCCACTAACGAATTCAACAGATGGGCTAAAAAATGGATAGGTGATGTTTGCTTTAGTCACAACGCTCCATATTTGTTTTCTTGTTAAACATTATTTCTTCCTTTACAATCTTTAAGAGTGTCACCTAAAGATGAAAACCTAAAGATTCAGAGGCTTGAACGATGTAATTTTTTCTACAATCCTCACTACTTTTTGCATTTTACCTTCACCCAATTTGATGTTCTCAATTCTATTTGATGTTTTATTAGATTTAAGCTTTGCCCTATGGGCTTAGCAGGTCCGCTATTGTGTATCAATGTCTGCAGTCAAGCAAGACTACCCGCAGTAAAGCGGCATTTTCCTAGCAACGCACATTTTACGCAGCGTAGAATGTAATACGGCCGACGCAACGCAACATCCAACGCGTTGCGTAAAAGTGTTTTCCTAGGATTGTCAGTTGCGTCCTGATCATCGCGATGAGTGGGTCAAATAATTGTAAAAAGAAATTAGCTTTGGCATTTTTAATACTGCAAGATGAAATTTTGCAAGAAGAAATTGACATTATAATCACATTTTGTCCATTTCATTCCAGATTGTGTCCTTTTTCACTACATTTTTAAATTCCTTCAGTTTCATATCCCAAAGAATAGTATAACCACTAACGACTTCAATTAATTGTTCGTCCTCAGTAGCACTAAAACGAATTTGTTGTTTTTGTGAAGTAATTTTGTTGCAAATTAGGAGCACATTCCTTTTAAAACGCAGCGTACGACTGAATAGACTGCTCTCCGAGCAGTCGTCCCGTTGCGTCGCCCGTATTACGCGACGCAAGTCGTTTTTGCGCCCTGTAGGAAAACGACTCCATTTGATTTTCATTAGACATGTCTTAAGCGTTTTACGCCGACCGAATTACGTTCTACGCTGCGTAAAATGTGCGTTGCTAGGAAAACCCCGCTTTAGTACTTGGATGAATGACTATCCAAGGAAAGTTGGCGTACCTATAAAAGCCACCTGTGTAGTTGCATACCACAGCTGGCAGGCGTTATATCAATGATCAATGATGTTGGGCTCGTTAAAGATCCCTACCTCTGGTTGAGATATAGATATTTTGGGTAAATTTCTGGTATTTCGGAATAGCGTGCTCACCAGCCTCGGTGTTTACACGTCATAGAAAGAGGCCGACGTAAATATATTAATAAAAAAATGGCTTTATAGTCGAAACAGGTCACCTGAATATTATTAAACAATTATTATATGTGGTATAGATTTCGAGTTTAATTTATCTCAAATAGAAAGAAGATTGAAGAGGACAAAACCTTCAGATCTTGCGTGAGTTAAAAGTTAAGTGTTATAAAAAACAGAGTAAAATAGTAGTTTAAGTTAGCACATATAAAGAAGAAAGTACTGCAAGAAAACAGACACGCTAATGAGTGATTTCTTAATTTTAAGCTTTTAGTTCATTTAGGTTACGATAAAATTCCTGATAGATCGATTTAAAAAAAAAATAAGCCAATAGTGAAACAACACTGTATATTCTTAATTACTGTATAAAACAATGTTACCTGAAGAGAAATAGAACAAACGAAAAGTCATAACAAGAAAGCCCATTTTGATAAATTCCAATTTTCTTTCGTTTCAAAATTCACCAAAAAAGTGACTAGAAATTGTCGTTTTAATTTTTTTCGAGACATATATTTAGTACCACAAATTCACTTTTAAGAAGCCAGCTATCTTTTTAATTTGTAATTTATACCAAATCTTATCAGACAATAAAGAAACTTGGTTTATGTAAATATTTTATGCTCTTTAATTAAACAAAAAGTACAATTTTATGAAAAATAAGACGTCAGTCTAAATGTTGTTAAGCCAAATTAGAATTATTTGCAGATTCGGAAATTGAAACGCGGACTATATAAATAAAATCTATTCGGGACGAGCGTAAGCGGAATTGAGCTGAAAGTCGTACGCCAAATATTATACAGGGCGAATCCTACCTATGTACAGAAGTCATTTAAATAAACAGCATTTTCAAATAACTTTTTCAAAAAAACTCAAACATAAAAAACTTGCTATAATTGATTCCATAATGTATCCAACACGGTCCTGTATAATTGTATAATTTTAATCGAAAAATGTTTATTGCATTCACGCAACATGATTTTTCCGCAGTGTTCCACTTTTCAGTGACTTATCCCAATAACATATCATATATACAATCACCCGCGCACTTATCTAACAATAAGTCCCCGACATTATTATTTAAAATGCGCTCTTCTAAACGCACTTTAATTTCAATTTACTCGTACAATACTGAACACAGATAAACATTACATTACAATATTCGTGATTCATATTCGTAAAATAAAACGGAAAAACATAAACATAGACATTAATTCGTTTAATTCGTACACAAATTCAGGCCTGATTTTCAATTTATTAATTATTTACCTTCGTTTGTTATGTTTTGAGTTTTTTCAAAAAAGTTATTTGAAAAATATGTTTATTTTAACGAATATACACAGTTAAAAAGGTATCAACTTTGGATTCACCCCGTATTAATGCAGTTTGTCATGTTATTTTTAAACGGGACAAATTTATTTTAAAATAAATAAAAAAGGTCTAATAAATGTTATTGATAAAGTTAATATTTTAGAAGATATAAATTTTTAAAGTTAGAAAAAATCATGATTTTGATGTAGTTTAACGGCTTATAAATTTATAAAAATAACTGATGATATATTTTTTTTTTATATTCTTTATAATATTCTTTATAATGTAGTTAACAAACTACGTAGTGACAAATATGAAAATTTTCATCATTAAGGATTGCTTTCTAAATAGTTATAAATTATTATTTATCAGATATCTGCGGAGAGGCCACAGAAGCACGTGTGTAGAAGAGACATCAAAACTTTAAGGTAATTCGCGGCTATTTACGCTACTAGTGAATGCACGTAAAAAATAATGAAAAAACCGTCCTTAATAATGAACATTTTCTTATTTGTTACTACGGAGTTTAACTGCAACATTTGTTAATATCAGTTACTTTTATGGATATACAGGGTGTTTCATAATATATGCGCAGGACTTCAGGACGTGATAGCTCGTCCAAAAATATGAAAAAACGTTTCTATTAACTTACCCTCTAAAATGCACCATTTTCGAGATACAGGGTGTTGAAATTAAAAAAAAAAAAAATTCTACGCCACTGGAAAAAGTACGGTTTTGAACCGCCAATGTGTTCTACACAAAAAAGGTACTCTTGGTCATACGCTCTAAAGTCGACCGTTTTGGAGAAAAATCAAATTTTAATGTTGAAATAAAATGGAAATAAAACAAAATTTGATTTTTCTCGAAAACGGTCGAATTTAGAGCGTATGACCAAGAGTACCTTTTTTGTATATAAAACATTGGCAGCTCAAATGGGCGTCTCAAAACCGTACTTTTTCCAGTGGCGTAGAATTTTTTTTTTTTTCAATTTCAACACCCTGTATCTCGAAAATGGTGCATTTTAGAGGGTAAGTTAATAGAAACGTTTTTTCATATTTTTGGACGAGCTATCACGTCCTGAAGTCCTGCGCATATTTTATGAAACGCCCTGTATAAGCCTTTAAAATTTGTCAAAATTTTGATTTTTTAAACTTTAAAAATTCATATCTTTTAAAATATTAAATTTATCAAAAATATATATAGGACCTTTTTTATTTGTATTAAAATAAAGTATATGAAAAAAGATTGTTCCGTTTAAAAATATTTTTTTAGAAATTGTTTAAGCAATGTCGTTTTTAAACATTGCCCCATGGCAAACTGTATTTATATAAAATTTGGCGTATTTTTAAAGGATTCAAAAAAATTGCGTCGCAATAATTTTTGACACTCATGCGCTGATTCCGCCTAGACTATTTTTTCCTAATAACCCCAAATAAGTGAACAGCCTACATAAGTCAACAGATCATTTATCCATAACGAAAAAAGAACAGAAATATAAAAAAAAGAAATTATTATTTACTTTAGTGGTTAAAGTTTACCCGAGAGGATTGTTGAAATAACAAGAGAGAAAATGAAAAAAATTTAATAAACCTAAATAAGCGACCAAACTAAATAAGTTAACAGATCATTTTTTCTTATCTAACAAAGAACATAAATATATGAACAAAAAATAGATAGACAAAA